CTGAGGAACTGAGAAGCCCAAACGACGCTGGCGTTATCTAAGGGCAGTTGACTCGACAAGCAACATCAGGCCGCAAAAAATAAGTTCACTGCGATGCTGTGTTAGCTAGGTAACAGGCGTTTCAAGTTGTATGAAAACCGGAAGCTCAGCGATCCGGAAATATTTAAGTTTTCTTCCAAAGACAACTGTCACTTGTGTAGCGCATTTAAATCGGCTAGCGTGTCAAAGACGCTGCCGGGTACGTCGAGCATCACGCGGCTGGAATTCTGATTCTGTGTCGTCCGTGTACGCTGTGTGGCTGGGTACCCTAGGGCAACGGCGCAGCGTCACGCAACGGCACCTTCTCTAGGTGGGGCCATCTGTTGAAGGGCGCTGCTTGTTTCGTAGTATTGCGGTCGAGAAACAGTTTTAGAAAGTTACAGAAATACGGAACACAGTTATGGCGCGGTACTACGGTAACGCTACTCTCCTCTAATTCGCGGTGCTTTCGCCACTCCCGATTTAAGTTAAGTCACCCGAACACCACAAAGGCCCTTTGAAAAATTACTGCCACGGTTGTTGTTGCCGGTCAGCATGTACATTGTTCACGATGCACGTTTCCATTGGGGAGGGGAGGCACTTTAATGATATACTTTGTTGGGCACGTTGGTTCATTATGAAATAGATTTGAGTGCAAAAGAATAAGAGACGTGAAGAAAAGACTATACACGGGCGCTCTTGTAGTCGCCTTTCATTTTTTTGGCTGGTCATTCCGCACTTAAATTTCTTCCAAGACGCACTTTAAGCACAGCGACTTGGAAATGAGGAATGCTACCATACTCGCGTATTATATTTGCGTACCATGTTTGCGCAACTTGCTAAAGCTTACTAATGTGGTCATATTCGGTTCCGGTCGCGATATATTGTATACGTGGAGGCTCCGTGTTTGAAATTACGCTTGAAGGGAGGGATATTCATGGTAACACACGGACAACGGGCACCGAAAAATTACCGGACGTGCGAATGTTGATAGGCAGATTTAGGCTGTGTTCTAATACTCACCGTGGACGGCAAATAGACAGCTAAATGAACGGCGGCCATCCTAAGTCCCATTCCGATTCTCACGTAGCTGGGAAATTAGGCAGCTCCGAGAAGACCACATCGTAGACAAATACGATGGAGGCTACTTTGCTGTCTAAAAAAGATGGCGGCTCAGTGAATCGCTCAGATAGATCAAATCTCGCCGGAATGGTCATCTGCACACAAGCAGACGCTTTACCAGACGCTCAATCTGAGTAACGTTCATTTGTTTTTGATTTCAACACGGAATAAGCCAGAAACTACAGCTGTTACGTTTGTTTATTTTAGCTTTTTTTTCCTCGACGTGCGGTGGCGCATCGTCGCGTTAAAGCCGTCCAGAAGTGTTTTGATTCTCGAACAGCTTGGGCTTGGTGCTGTCTTCTAAGCAGTCTACGTAGACCGTCTACGTGCTGTCTAAGAATTGGAACACAGCCTTAGTTGGGCGTCTGCAGCAGCTCTGCGGACGCAGCTTGCGAACCACTTCATAAGGTATACGATGCTTCGGCAAAGATGTTGCTGAAACTACACTAAACCTGTCCATTTCGTCAATGAGAGCGTGCGCACGTGGGGCTTTTTGGATGCGCACCTAAATCTATATATCATGAACCGAGACCGTTATGCGCGTTTTGTACACGATTATTGATTGATATGTTGGGTTTAGCGTCTGAAAACTACCATAACATTGTGATATACGCCTTAGGGGAAGGCTCTAGAAATTTAGGCCTCCTGGGGTTTTTTAACGTGCATCCAAATCTGAGCACAAGGGTCTACAACATTTTCTACACGTTACCCTAACATGAGTTATTTAATCATTTATAAAGGTGAATTGTTTGTTGATTGCATATTGTGTGCTCTGTTGAAGGCACAATATATCACTTTCAGATGGGCTTTCGTGTAAGCTCTTGTAACATTTCCATCGATATTCAAGTTGCAGCTGCATAGGCATTCGTCTTTCCACGGGTGCTTTTCGCGCAAGCCCCGGTAAAAGCTTGCACGTTGACTCGAACGAATGGTCTCTCCATTTGCAATGATCTTACCAATGTGTTGTCTACTTCCACAAAGTGATTGCGAACAAAGAACACCCCGTACACTCCACCATCAATGATTTCCCCAGTTCTGTCCTGTTCAACAACTGCCCTGCCATAATACAGCCCTACGCACTTCGTGTAAGGACTCTAGCCAAAGGGACGGGCGTGCCGCTTCTTGAACACGGCTTGGCTTCTCCCGCTGTATATGTCTCGCCTTGGCAGTGGCAGCTGACAGACTGTGATATGTCTTTTATACAAGTCACCAAGCACGCGCCAGATGCATATATTCATACACGTTTCCTAGAACTGCAGCAAAAATACTCATACCCAGAATTCTACACTGATGCCTCAAAAACTCGCCTTTCTGTCTCCTATGCAGCAGTCGGTCCATCTTTTTTAGATGCCGGTGTTATGCATCCGTACACCAGCATTTTCACAGCAGAGGCTTATGCTTTACTGGTAGCTGTTAAACACATAAAAAACTAAAACTACAAAGTGCAGTAATCTACACAGATTCCCTGAGCGTTGTGAAAACCCTTAAAACACTCAAAAAGCAAAGAAACCTCATTCTGATCTCCCTTTACTCAATCCTGTGCACAGTGTACGCACTAAATAAACATGTCATAGTCTGCGTGGTGCCAGGGCACCGTGAGATACAAGCAAATGTTTTGGCGGACCACTTCGCTGCAACCGCCAAAGAAAAAGCTGCCAGTAGATCAATAGTGGTTCCTGCACTTGACTTGAAACCTTTTCTAAAACAATAGCTCAGGGCCTATACGCAGAGCACGTGGGGCAGACACACACATAATAAATTGCATGTTATCAAGCCGCTACTTGGTCATTGGCCGCCATTATCAAAATTACGACGCACAGAAGTAACACTTGCAATACTAAGGACAGGACATGAATTCACTACGCACTCATACCTGTTGTTCGGTGGCGATCCACCTTTGTGTGAGAGATGTGGCGAAGCACTGACAGTGCTACACATTTTAATCCGGTGCAAAGAATTAGATACCCTAAGAAAACAACACTTTCCACAACAGTTTCCGCTTCACCCTGCAATGTTTGTCGGTAAGAAACCGTTTTTTACACATACATCGCTGTTCGGATTTCGAAGACACCTAGGTACATTTCATGTCATTTACTCGGGCCCTCCGTAGCACGACCTATGAACTGAGGTCGCTGCTGCGGTGGGTACATCTCCGCTATGCTTTTATTACGATGTTTAGCCATTAATTTTCACTACACATGTTTCATGTCACCGTCATTATTTTAATGTTGCTATATTTTTACTCGCGTTAGCGCGAGGAATTTTAAGGCCTTTTACAGCCACCTATCATAACAATTATTCACTTCTCTTGACCCACGACCAGGCCCTCTTGGGCCATCGAATGGCCCTTACGCCATGAAACACCACACATCCTGATCATCATCATCAAGGTGCAGCTGTGTGGGCTAAATCTTACACACCGGAGTAGCGAGTGATTCTATAACTATTTCAATTAAGTTTCGCGTGACTACTGTTAAAATATAAAAGTATTCATTTTTAGCCAGTCTGATGACACTTGCCGCTGTGGTAGTTACCGAAAAAACAGAGAGAGAGGGTTCATATTCAGAAATATTTTAATAAACTCATTCTGCGAAGCGATTTAGCAAAAGTAAAACAGGAAGCGCGAAAAGATTATGCGTGATTTCAAGAAAGATAGTTGAGGTAGGCCTCGATTACATGCATCAGTGTGGGAATAGCCAACTAAAAAGTGCGACCGCCATGCGCATTGTGCCACATGGCGGGAAAGAATGCAGAAAACAGCGCGAAGTTTACGTATTACTTGGTATTCCCTGTCCCAAGTAATACCTGCAGCGTTGTGCGAATCCACCAGCGCGTTGCTTGCAAAACACATGTCATCGTCGTGTTAGGCCACTCGTCACACTCAACCACGAAATGAAGTGAAGTATGCGTGAAGAACGCGCAAACGTGTGCATACAGAGCGCGACTGCAAACGGCTGGGCTTGAGAGGGAGAGAGCTGACAGAGAGTGGTGTTGGGCACTTTAAATTTACCTAAAAGAACATAAAGTGTTACGCCCTGCCTGCTGCACCGAAGTATCGCAGGCTGCCAACTTTAAAAATAAAAAAATAAAATTTTTTTATAAAATAAAGAACAGAATAAAAGAAAGGGATGACTACCACCAGGGGAACGACAGCCAAGGGAGCGGACAGGGAAATCAGGGAACTTATTTTGTATTTACCATAAACTAATTTACATTCTATGTGTGATCTTCATCTTGACTTACAATGATTCTTCTTTTTTCCCCTTGGGCAAACTAATTTACACACTGTTTTTGTCTTGTTTCGTCTTGGCTAACAATTATTCTTCTGTTGTCTTCTTGTTATGTAGGCTTCTTGTACCCTTTGTAGTCTTAGCTTGGTGTCTTTCCATGGAGTCCTCCTCGATTCTTCACCTGTGTTGATCCCCCACCTTTTTTTTCCTTTCCCTACAGTTTCCTCACCACTGCCAAGGCTCTTACATTTGACTCTTGATTTCGTATACACAATAAGTAAGGAATTGATGTGAGTTAAACATTCATACCCTCTTTGTTGTTTGTTTCCCCCTTTTTTCTTGTATTTCTCCCTGTTTTTTCTTTTCTTTTTTTTTCTTACTCTCTTTTCTTTTATCCTGTTTTTTGATTAATTTTTTTTCTCTTTTGTGCACGACATTTTCTTTTTTGTTTTTTCTCTCTCTCTTTTTGCATCCTGTTTTTGTTCTTGGTTTTTTTAGAGGGCATTTTTTTCATTTTTAAACGCAAGGATCCTACTGTTGTGACATTGGTAATTTGTGTTAGACCAAGGCCGTCCAGGTGAAACGGTTTATTAATATTATTTTCTTTCATTCTCTTTTTGTTTTTTCTAGCGAATTCCCAGCTACGAACATGCCACTGGTATTAGGCCTTTCGAGGTTCTCGATTGCCACCAGTGCGAGATCTGCGGCTCATATACCACTGGGGAATTTTGTCTCATTTTGAAGACTGGTTGTGTGGAGTCCAATTGGTGGGCAAAGCCTTCGGATTTCACCTGGCTTCTCAGCCACATCCTGTGTTTGGAGAGAGCTGACAAGCGACATGCTGCAAACAACACACAAATTTCTCTAATCCTTGTACTTACAGCTCCACCTGGCTGCACGTGGCTTGAAACTGCTTCTCCGCGATACGAAAACCAACAATTGTGCAGCAGTTGCATTTCACCCCATAAACCTTTTAGACTCAACAATTCAAATTGGGTCACGAAATTTGCAACAGTTTGTTTTTCTAGTCAAAGCAAAACCAAAACACAACAATAAAGAAAGCCGCCACTGCGTTCAAAAGCCCACAAAGACAAAGGCTAGGCACATTTGTGTACTAGCCATCATTCCCACCATACCACTTTCGAATTCGTTATAGATAAGTTCGACTGTATAAGTATTCCTGTTTGCAGATGGTACAAAATGAAAAAAAAAATCAACAGAAACAGTACTAATAAAGAGCCATCTACCAATTTCTACAAACTGTTTGTCTATTCAATTAAACCTGGTATAGATTTGGGTTTGTACATACTCTATTTATTTGTAGTGTTTTTTTCGCTTCTTGCATTTACGTTTTTTTATTTTTGCTTATTCAGGTATGCTTTCTGCTATTTTCTGCTTGACGTAAAAATTTGCATTACAATGCTCACAGATTCTGCTCATTGCATTGTTCTTAACCGTCCAGGAGGTTGCTATTGCAATTATGTGGTAATAATCTTGGAAAGCAAAAGGGTAACCTCCAATGTAGCGAGCACGTAGCATGCGCGCGCCATCACTGAAGACATAGCTTGCGCAACGCAAGGTCATGGGTAGGTGGCAGCACCGTATCGTTCTAGCAAAGCGTAGGAAACATCCGTCTTTTGTATATGACGTCGCATTGTCAGCACAGCGTAATAAGCGCGTGGTACCTATATAGAATTACTTATTTATGTTTTTTCAAGTATAAACCAACCATAGAATATTGAGGTGTTCATATTGTGCCTCAGATATGAGCAGTATTTGCTTTTAAATTGACAATGCATACAAGTATGAACGCAGAAACGATATCAAGATTGGTGGGCGTTGTGAAAAGTGGTAAACTTTAGCCTAGTAGCTGAATCGTTCCGGTTGACAGACAGACAAGTCGAACGACAGAAGGAAAGACAGATAGACTGACGAAGAGACCGAAACTTTTGCGTTGAACTATTTAAAGAAAGACTATTGTAGTCTTTAAAGGGCCAGTAAACAGGCTCCGGAACGCGCAGGAAAAGCTCGCGCATCTTTCGAACGCCTCACCAACCTTCTTTCACACGCAGTGACGTTAACTCGGCGATTGGTGACGTTGACTAAATTACTCTTTATTGATACCTGGTTTAGACCAATCGTCGAGGTGCGTGCTACGTCACGTCGCTGATCGCCAAGTGGACGCGTTTCGCCAAGTATCCTGCGCGTTTCGGAGCCTGTTGACTGGCGCTTTAAAAGTAAGAAGACAAGAAAGGCTCAAAAGCAATGTACGCGCGCACTTTCCCAGTGCGAAAAGACACTTGTCAATGCTGTAGCGATTTCTGAACGTTCGTTCCGAATGTTTTTAGCTGTGCATAGGTCCCTTTTGATCGTCTGACTGATCTTCAGCGGAACTGTAGCCTCGAAAAACAGGAAGTAAACATGCTTATGGAGTTCGCTTCAGATTAAATCTTCCAAGCACAAGACTTACCGCTCTGGGTGACCACGTAAGATCCAAACCACCACTTTACAGTTTATTTTCGCTCGCAAGGTACATCTCCTAAGAACATTTCTGTAAAATCATTTACTAGTAACATTGAAATTTCTAGGGCATAATTCTGTTGCCATGAACGAATTTTCGGCCTATTGATGAAGGCGCCAAACAATACAAAGATTTGCTGCTCCTCAGGCTGCGTGCCTTCGTTATACAATTACGTAAGTGGCATTATGAGGATTCGTCCCCATAATAAAGATTCGTTTTTTTGCTGTATGGAAACATTCCACAGCTTGCTACGGGAAAATACGTGTGTAAGTGTAGGAGGGAAAGTAAAATGTGTGGAATTGACAGCGCTTGAAATTCCCTAGGGCGGAATGAACCATAACTGTGTAGCGCAAACAAAGAGTGAGACTTGCTTAGGGGCTTACGAAAGTGGCTGCTAATATTGCCAGCCCAGTTATGAAGCGAACCGAGCGCGCCTTATTAAAAAAACAAAAACAAAACAAAATTGAGCATCGCTGATTACTTCCAGCAGCTTTGCGAGTGCAGTCGCGCGACTGAAAAATCGGTCAGGAAGCGACTAGCCAAAGCAGTCGCTTGGCGACCGTTTGCGATCATTCACGACTGTTTGCGACCAGTCGCAAATGGTCGCGCAACCGCTGATAGTCGCCGGTGAGCACCAGCCTTAATACTCAGTGAAACAGTTCGGGTACTTTGTACTGAAAATGGCGTTTACCCGCCTCAGTTTACCCGCCCCGACATCAACCATTACTTCTATTTCACGGCTACCAGCTCCGTAAACATGGCACAAATTTGGTTTTGCTCGCAGTGGTGAGTTTTTCGGAAGTATTCCTTGAAAAATGAGAAATGCCGGATTTGTTCCGAAGATGCCTGAGAAAACGTTCTGTGGTGGCATCAAACTTCAGTGCCAGTGGCACAAGGGTCAAGAAATAGCATTTAAGGGCGCTTGAATTGATGGTTGCAGTTTAGTGTTTTATAAAATTCGTCATAAAGGCATTCACTGACCTCGCGCATCAGTGCGAAAAATGCGAATAGCAGATCAGACACCAACGCTTGCTTGGTCAGTATTCACCTTTCAGTTTGCTTGCACAGAGAAAGATGCCACTTAGACGACAGAAAAGCATACATTCTGAAAGCCCACATGTGCGCAAACATATGTGCATGCATCCGCGAGAATAATGAATGTGTTGAGCAGAGAGCACACTAGAAAAATTCATTTTATTTGCAGTTTGGTATTTCGAAATGAGATGAATGGCTGACGGATGCACTTCGCAATCTTTTTACTAATGGGGTAGGTGTGACTGGGGAAAAAATGCGGTGAAATACGCGGTAGATCGCATGTATTTTCTCTGGTTTTTCAACTTTTGTTCAAGTACAACTGAAGCACATTCTAGCAATGAACATTTATATACAAAAATATTTCTTGGAAGAAATCAGAATAGTTATATTAGTCTGACAGAATAGACATTTATTAAAATTAGGAAGTGTCTGATATTGCTTTTTCGTAAAGCATTTTGTAAAACGTGGAACACAAAAAAGTTCAAACTTTTTTAATACGAGGTTTGAACAGAACCTCTATAGCGGCCCAAGGTAATAGAGTTTTGGGGTTTACCATACAAGAATAAGTTTCAAAATAATTGCCCCAATACTACAGGCGTTCAACAAAAAAAAAAGAGCTGTAATCTATGAGACACAACTTGCCGCTAAAATTTTGTTTTTTTACAATGGTTAATGTATAGCAACAAAACGGCACAAACTTTGCAGCTGTGTATGCTGCGGTCGATCGATTGTCAGGTCAGGGACAGTTGGCATGGAGTGACCCTTTTGCATAACGTGGCTCTCGTCGTGTGCACTTCGCGCTTGGGGCGAATGCGCAAATTTTTTCGAGAGGACGTCAGCGTTGGAAACTTTTCTCTGGACAGCGGTGGCACAAAGCGCGCCGCTTGGTTTCAATTTTAGAGTGGCGAGTATTACATTCTCGTCGTCTCCGTTACTTTTTCGGGCGTCTTGTCGTCAGCCGGCTCCTTCTTGCAAGACGTGTGAATGGCTAGAGGTGTGTACAGCAGGGCCGCGAGGAGGTTCGATGCTCCTAGAAGCCTGTACATGCCGTCGTACGAGCCGAGGTCGTCACGAAAGAACCCTGAGAGAGGTAAAAAGAACTTTGAAGAGTGGACCTTTTTGGCGGTAATCTGCATCTGCGGTACACGGCATGGTCGGGGTTTTGTATGTAAACATGCAGAGTGACGTTGCCGGTTTTCTGTGCCTGTGCTGGAACAGCTGCCCTAACGTCTACTCGTAAGCGATAGTCTCAACTGTTTGCCGTCAACCTATCGGAAAGGCCTACTTCTGTAGTGTTCCACTGACCACGAGTTCGCGTCGAACGGTGACAGAAGATTATTGTCTACATTTATTATATTTACTAAAATGGTATGTTTCAACTGAAGAAAGTCATTTGAGATGTCAAGTGAGAGAAATGCATTGTGGCAGAAAAGCTGAGCAATTGTAGTAAATCTGTTTTCTGGCCTTCTACTCGTCGTTAGGAAAGGGGAGGAGTTGTCAAGCCCTCTGAGTCTGCTTATCAGAACATTTTATACCGTGTATTTTATGATATTTGAAATTCCTTTAAAGCACCATTCTCGGGAGGAAAATTGACGCAAGGCCTCTTGGAAAAACAGAATGTCACTATTATAGTTGTATGACTGAAGCAGAAACTCACTCCAATATATTTGTGCGATAAACACTTGCAAATATTTTATTGCTGCAACAGGTTGCTTTTGAATGTTTAGTTTTTAATTATGACATTTATTATGTTCATTCATGAAGTTTATTTGCCACCTGTATTCTCCTAGAAACATAATTATGTTTCAATGGTGACTCGTAAGTATTCTAGAGTCTTGATGATGAGGACGTAGATGGTAATGCGAGACTCTGTCTCCCCCTGTAAGGCGCAGATAATATGTGTTCCGTGTGAAATTAATAACCTACGCTAGAGTGAGCGGACAACCAACAGTGGTCATAGGAAATTTTACCACCACCTTCTTTGTTGTGTCGGTCGCTTGTTTTACTTGAACTCGTGTGTTAGGTAATTGAATTTGGATTGTTTAACTTTGCGACAGTCTCAGCTTATACAAATGGGACTGATAATAAAATGCACACATAACACAGAAGTCACAAAAGAACACTCCACCCAAGACATCTCCGGGGAAACGCTTGAGATCACGCTGATAAAGTGAAATCTATGTGGACGAAAGCGTGCTCTCAATTAGTCGAAACTGACCATTCGGCCAGATGACGCCGTCGCCAAAACAGTACATTGTGATCGAATAAGCTTATTTTACTGTATGGAGATAAATTCAAGGTGAAAATTGTATGTCAGCTCTACTATTGCAGTACCCGAGGAAGTGCGCCACGCGGCAACCAGTGATTCCCGTTTGTAGAGTTCACAGTGCTCCGTTTGCCCAAGCGTCCATGATACCAATGGTAAGCGTGTAGGGTTTACCCGGCACAAGTTTCACTAGTCAGATTCGCACGCGCGGTGTGCGACATGTGCGCTGCTTTTTGGTGCACTTTATAAAACTCCGTCAGGTTGTTTCCACCGTCAGATGTAGTCACGTAGCGATGCATCGCGAACACAGAACACACGCAGAGGTGGCGCAGAGGGAGGGGCTTTTGCTAACTTGCCGAGGGGTTGGCGCCCTCTTTTGCGCCGCGCTGTAGTCAGCAATATGTTGGTGGAACGTTTGGCTGAGTTTAAGTTGATTATAGCGAATACTTTTTGGTGAATTTTCGTAAATATACTATTTGGGAACTCACCCGTTTATTATAATTATTTCAACCAGAGTTTGACCTCTGCTGCACCAGTTACGGCCTGCATTGGGAGCATTACTGCGAGCGTGACCACGCCACTTTAGATGCATGAATGAGCGAGAAGCCGGGCCCCTGAAGTGCTGCGTTTTTGACACTATACTGGCATAACTATTACCTTGCGGTTATTGTGGCTGCAAGTGTACTCTCGGTTTTGTCGCACTTCCTTCGCGTTATTCACCCAATATCTGTGTGAAGAGAACTCGTAAAGTTTTTGCAGTTAAGCCCCAACTCTTAAGGCCCGAGAACACGTCCCCGTTGCTGCACGTCAGCGGGAAGCAATTTGACACATGTGGCGCGGCACTCTCTCCATATGGACAGAGAAGACACGCAGCTTCCCGTAGCCGCGGTCCCTCTTTCTCCATGCGAAGGCACGCACCTGTTGCCACGCAAGGACGCGCTGAAACAGATGCGTGTTATCAGGCTTTTATGCCAGTGGCATTGACACAGAAGTACCTCTCAGTGACTGCCATGGACAGGCGACTGACAAGAAAAATAGTCAGACCAACACTTCATTTCGCATAGATGTACGACAAGATGCTTCGTCATCAGCTAAAAGCGGGTGATTTAATATAGAGCCAGTGAGTGTATATCATTGCTTAATTACCGTGAAACATCAATCACAAACAGTACTAAGTGATATGCTTTATTGAGCGAACTTGCGCCCAGTAAAAGCAAGGCTCAAGCTAATGACAACTGTGCGTGCCGACGTCTGTTGTTGGTAATAATGTCATGGTATCGTGACGTCGACAAAGGAAGCAGACTGAGGAAGCGAACAGCTTCTCGGACACTACGGGTGTGGTTTGCTCTGAGAATTACTGACAATAAAACGGGGTGACAACAAAACTTGACGAGGGGAGGTGGCAATATAATGGTGGACTGCATGCCTTGCCTTTTATACATCAGGGATCGAACCTTATAGCGTTCGCCATCGGGCGAGCGGGAGCACTTTAGACAGCACTCAAAGTTTTCTCGCGAGTTGCGGCGCCTTCCAGAGGTCGCGCAGGAGCGGGGATGTAGTGTTTCATTGGTCGAGGAAAAGCACTTTTTCGGCGCCGAGAGCACTGATTTGTGCTCTGTCGCCAACGACGGAGTAAAGAGAGTACGGATGAAGTCATATGACCTTTCTCACGTCACTTCTGGTTTCATGCATTAAGCGGTGCGCATGGCCACGCAATGAGAGCGTGCTGCATGTCCGTGAAGCGGGCGCGTGGGACAAAATTGGTCACATGATTCCTGACATCACGCGCACTCGCCATTTGGGAGCGTGGTAGTTCCATTCAGGCTCTGACACGTCCCCCGCTGCTTCCGCTTGCGGCAGTGGCTGCTAGTTCCCCTGGCTCCTGCTCGCCCATTGGAAAGCGCTAGTACAGTGTATCGCTTTTTCTCGTGTGAACTCTAGACTTCTGGCGCACAATCTCGGCAGAACTGTCTTGAACAGTCACGAATTTTTCAACTTGGCACTGCGGCCGTTAACGAGTGTTTGTAGCAGGTTTCTTGTAGATATAGCCCGAGCACATTAAAGGAATCATGACACCCAATTTCGCCCCGCCACGGTGGTCTAGTGGCTAAGGTACTCGGCTGCTGACCCGCAGGTCGCGGGATCAAATCCCGGCTGTGGCGGCTGCATTTCCGATGGAGGCAGAAATGTTGTAGGCCCGTGTACTCAGATTTGGGTGCACGTTAAAGAACCCCAGGTTGGTCCAAATTTCCGGAGCCCTCCACTACGGCGTCTCTCATAATCATATGGTGGTTTTGGGACGTTGAACCCCACAAATCAATCAATGACACCCAATTTTCAACAATAATCTGTGTTGTGTGGGTTGATTATTGTACGTTAGCAGACAAGCTGAAAAAATCTGAGTGAATTTCGTCGAGCTGTTAATGATTAACCAAATATTTTTTTATAAACGAGCAAGCGGCCTGAGAGTTAGGCAACACTGGTGCGATCGCTAGCCGTGACGTCACGAACCGCTTGCTGGGCAAGCGGCTGCACGGTCTGCATTCTGGAGGACGATCGTGATCCGTGGTCAGCTGCGCTTGTAATCAAACTCTTTCTGCGTTGTTGAACTTGCCACTGAAACTAAATAACTACCTGGGTGGAAACAATGCTACTTCGTCACCCATGTAGAGCTGGTACTTGCAGCAATTCATATCAGTGGTCAAAAAGTGTCCGGTGAATGCGCAATGCATATGCTGCTTGCCACTATGGGTAAAGAGTTATGAAAGCTCCTCGCAGGCAGTGCTTTGATTGAGTGCCACAATTGCTCTTCCTTAGTGAAGCCGTATGCAATCGACTGAGTTCAAGCAAAGATTCGGCCAAAACGTTTATCGTAAGTAACCTTAGCGCCGCACTGACATGCCGTTCGCTTAAGCTTATGTTTAAATATTCCACACACAACAACCGATGGAGAAACAACGCTCCCAGCGCGCAGCATTGCTACGACCATTTCTTTATTATATTCAGCACCGAAAATCGTTCGTGCCCGTTTGCTAGCTAACAAAAATCTGCATGCTTGGTGACCAGTAAAAGAGCGAGGGATAGTGGGGTGCACCGTCTGCTGCCGGCTTCCGGTTCAAAGAGAGTAGACGAAGGTGAACCATTCCGCCGTAAACCTCGAAGTATTCGGGATTCGTGCACTCGGTTACTCGTTCATGTTTGTCCTGCTAAACCATAGTCGGTTGTTCAGCCGTTGGCTGCTCCAACGCGAGCGGGAAAGGCAAACACATGTATCGATTCCGATGGAACAAAGTGTAACTAGCAAGGACGACGATACAGCATGATGGCCAGAACAAGAAGAGACATCGGTTTATTGATTATATAGGCGCACGATAGCGCGCCGTGAGTATCTGCGCATGTCCGATGCGCAGTCGTGATGCAGTAGCATTGCCTGATACATCCTTTCCGTTAACAACGAAATTACCTACCTACCGAAACAGTGGTAAGTACATGGCATTTCAAAAAATGATATCATACACTTGGTTAAAGTCCTTGTCATAAAGAAGACGCTGTGGTGGCTTCACGGTTCGAGTCGATCTTCTCAAAGCTGGCGTCGGTGGTGAAGTTGACTGACGCACCACAGGTGGCGAAGGGTCGCCCGACGTCGGAACTTCGCGACGTCGGCCATTGGCTGGCGAGGTTGAAGTTGCCACTGTCGAATGACCACCAACGTTGTTGTCCGCTGAGCTGGTATCAATGTCGTCGTCACTTTCCTTGATGAACCATTCGCCAGTTTGAAGTAGGTGACGACGGTTGCGCCTTAACAGCTTCTGGTC